AGAGAGAGAGAGGGGAGGGGGGGGGGGGGTAAAATAGCAGGATCTATTTGGCTTAACCTGTCAGCACTTAATGCTCTATCCAAGGACCGACAATTCTCTCTGTTACGTGGTCAGACCTAATAGATCTGTGTTATATACCATCATCTGTGTGCATTAATGGTGTTGCATTTGCTTAGAGTAGTTTGGTTCTCTTTCATGGTTTTGATGTACCTCTGTTCAGGTTTTTGACGTCACTAAATTCTTGGAAGATCACCCTGGAGGAGAGGAGGTTCTGTTGGCATCAATCGGTAAATCTACCTCTGCTCTATCCAGATCTCTTTATGTGGCTACCATGTGAGCTCATCAGTAACACAACTCATGTTGGAAATGCCATTCCTTTGTCAGGGAAAGATGCAAGTGTTGATTTTGAAGATATCGGGCATAGCACCACCGCCAGAGCAATGATGGATGAGTACTGTGTTGGAGAGATTGATGTTGCAACAATCCCTAAGAGAGTCAAATACACACCTCCCAAGCAGCCTCACTACAGCCAGGACAAGACGGCCGAGTTCATCATCCGCCTCCTCCAGTTCTTGGTTCCGTTGGCCATCTTGGGATTGGCTGTTGCCGTGAGATTCTGCACGAAATCGTCGTAAATTGTTCTTTAGTTTGCATTCAGTGAGAGAGTGATGTTGTGATCTCCTGTGTTGCCCCCAGATTCGGATACTATGGTTTGACCATCAAGTGTTTGCTTTTAAGCCTCACTAATGAAGTCATTTGTGTTGGTGCTGTGAGAAGATAAATAATGTATTTTATTCAAAGCCAAAACGACATGTCCACAACCAACAAGTTAACGACAGACACAACTCAACTCGATGACACTGAACTCAGATGCGTCGCGGAAGACTGAAGCCGCGGCTGCCCCATGGCACGAATCCATGGAGCGGCTCAATTGTTGCAGCAGCGGTAGAGAACGAACTTCTCCATGGGGCGCTTGCACTCGGCGCAGACCACCTCCTCCTTGATCCTGCCGGTGTCGCCCGGGAGGATGAGGCGGGTGCAGTGCTCATGGGTGTGTAAGGGCAGCAGCGCCTCGGTAAGCGCGGGGACGAACCCGTCTTCCTCCACCTTCCCCTTCCACGAGTCGAACTGGCTGAGGCAGTCCACGATCATCTTCCCGTGGGCCTTGACCATCTCCATCGATCCCCGGCTGACGATCGCCCACCCCTCGTCACTGCCGTCGAAGCTCAGCATCGTCATCACCTCCAGCATGATGGGGTCGTTCTCGATCGTCCGGCCGTGCTGCATCTTGGAGTACCACATGCTCTCCAGGCGCACCCAGAAGAACCACACCATCACCGGGTCCTGCCAGTAGCCGCTCAGCTTCTCTCTGGCGATCACCGAGATGGCCTTCCTCACCCGATCCTTGGGGCTGCTCTTCCCCACGTACACCATCTCGATCGGGATCTTCGCTTCCTGCGACACGCGCCTCATCACCATCGTGAACCTCCTTATCCACTCGATGTCCTCTCCTCCATACAAGCAAACATGGCGGCCTTCTCTTACCTTCAACATCAATGACCAAAAGATGAGAGACGTGCAGCAGCACTGTATCAGTAAATGAAGCCTTAGTGAGCAGCTAATTCATACCCAGGCAAGCATGTCAGGATCGATATCGTCGACCATGAACTCGAGTCGCCAGGTTTCTTCCTTCCACAGGGCCAACTCCCTGTTGCTGGTGAAGGGGAAGGCCAGGCTTCCCCAAATCCACATCATGTGGAGGGCATTAGGACACACGACCTTCCCTTGCGGGTCCAACACTACCATCAATGCCCTCTTGTCGAAGTGCCACTCATTCCGTATGTACTTGACCGCCGCCGGCTCCAGCAGCGAAGGGTGGTGCAGCGAGTACCACGGCATGGTGGAAGCAAAGCGGTTGTAGGTCTCCTCCTTGGCGTTGGTCCAGGGTGCGTGCCTATCGATCACCGGAAGCCAGACGATCTCGTACGGCCTGTCCAGCTTCCCCTGGTGCGTGTCGTTGTATATCTGGATGAGAACGAGGAGCTCTTCGTCGCTGATGTCGAGGTCGGAGATGAACAGCATCACAATCTTCCTCCTCAGCACGTCGACGCTGACTCTTCGCTTCGTGTCACCGTCAAAGAGCGGCAGATCGTCCTTGGAATAGATCAGCGCCCTCAGGATTTTGTTGTTATCAATGTGCACGGTCTCGAACAGGCGCACCAGCGTCTGGTACGCTTCGAGGTGCTTCTTCTCACCTGAATCAAGAAACATGAACGAACTAATGGTTGGTCTGTGACCGTACTTGATTAGAAGCGGAAGGCTGTTCTTAGCTCTGACCAATATGTCGATTGCAGAGTTCGAGTTGCTTGGTGAGGTGTTCGTGAATGCTTCTGACTTTATGGGCTAAACTTGAGAGCTCCCACACTTCGGTGGTGGAGGTGATATGCCTGGCAATCGGGGGAAAGGGGATCATGGCACGTCCTGATCCGAGAAGTGTTTCATGGAGGTGAGTGACAGAGATTACTCATGGCCAGGGCCTATGAGGGCAACGATCTGGGAAGCACAAGCCACCACGCTCCTGATGGTCCAGTAGACGGCAGTGGGGATATGCGCCAAGGCCATGTCCATGTCGGGGTTGTCAGGCGAGATGTACTCGGACGGAAGCTCCTTGAACTGGATGATGCACTTGGTGACATCCAGCATCGCCTTGATGAGGTTGCTGAGGGCGTCGAATCGGGGCTTGAGGGCGTCGGTGTGCTCCAGAATGTCCGGCAGCTGCTTCAGCAGCGCCACCGATTTCGCCAGCGGATTGACCTTGTGCAGCTGCGCCGTCAGCCAGAACTCCCCGTAGCTCACAGCGAACGCGGCCAGCGCGATCACAACCTTCGCGTCCCAAGTATAGTTCGCCAACGAGTTGAACAGGGCCATCGTCGTCGCGTGCGCGTCGCCGCTGCCGGAGCACTTGCAGGAGATCTGTAGATCTCCATCATAAATCCTACTCACACGCTGTCTCAAGAAGAAGAAAGCTCAGACGAAGCTACGCCAGCTGCTTTACCTCACAAGAAATCCTGTGGACGGTATACGCCAGCGCTTCGAGCATGGCGACGACTTCGACATGGTGCACCTTGTCCTCCACGAGCTCCGCCGGAGCCTGTGGAGTCTGCTCGATCGCCAGACCACACAAACACAAGGTTGTGTCAAGCAAGATGGAAGCTTTACATCACAACACACAAGCTTACCACAATCACAGTCGGGGTAGCCCGTTGCAGTATGTCCTCGACGAGGCGCAAGAGAGGCCGTGCGTCGACATCGCGGCCGTCAGGGGAGTGGGTGCCGAGGATTTGCTTCAACACCACGCTGTCGTCAGACGCCGAAAAGAGGTGGCGATCGCCCTTTATGGCAAGCATCTTCGTCGCTGCCGCGGCTGCAGGGGACGCCATGATTTTCGTGACAGAGGAACTCAACACGACGAAGAGATCAAGCTCGCAGGGGCTGTGGAGTGTGACTGCTTATATGTATAGATGGCACGGAAGGAACACGTAGAATAAAGGAGGGAGGAGGAGGACCAACAACTTTGCTTGATGGAGCACAAGTGAACCAACTACCTTGCTTCACGGTCGGGGCTTCCATGGAAATCTGCAGGCAACGAACCTAATTGGTAGATTTGGGCACATGTGGGGGCACCCGAGCAGCGCTTTAAAGTCCTAAAGTGACCCCTCGTGATTCGTGCACCGAATCCAGGCCCATCTCTCTTTGCCTAATGCATGGAGTTATGGTAAGAGTTTGTGCTTCCAAAGAACAACATGCAAGCGTATCAGCTTACTTTGGATAGCTAATACTCATCGATGAAAGGGCATATACATATACATATACGTATATATATATATATATATATATATATATATATATATACATATATCCTTGTTTTTTGATTGAATGGAAAGCATATTTATGTTAATAATACTTAAAATGTCTACCATCTTGTTCATGTTTGTCAGAATTTAATTGGATCCTTTCAATATTATTAACAATCTAATTAAAATATTTATTCTGGTATCATAGCTCTGTTTTTTATTCCATTCGGTGCAATGTTTTTTTTTTTTTATTCAATCGGACCATCCATTTGGGATTTATGGACTCAATTGAATTATGAATCCAGGTAACTCAACGGAAATCATCATCATGATATGAAACTATGTCATAAATTTAGTACCTAAATCTCATGCTTAATTAATTAATATTTGCAGGACTTGCGTTTCTCATTTGGGTTTATATTCCTCTATAGCGTTACCTCGGAACGAGGTAGGAACATATAAGCATTTGATGTGTCTACTCACACTAACTTAAGGAAAATTGTAATTATTCCATTTAATGATCGACTTAAATGATGCCATCTAGTGGTGGAAAAGGATCCACATATGGATAGAACAAGTCCATATCATGTGGAGCTACGATGTCTCACATTGCAACCCACTAAGGTCTAATTTTATGTACATTAATTATCGACGAGAATGTTAATACACCAATTTTCGTCTCACCTTGAATTGGATTGTTAAATTTTGGTAAGTCTCTTATAAATAACTTGGACTTTAACGTTTTATGTTAATAGTTCAGGCTCGATCGATTAATGGATCAGTTGTTCGATTGGATGGATCATGACACCATATATTTTTCAAAATTACTTGGTGCTTAATTAATAATTATGCAAACGTTCATTCCTTATATTGGTTGGATTTAGTTTCATGGAGCCTAACAATTTCCTAATAGTTTAAATTCATGGGACTTGTGATAATAATCCTATTAATTTGTTTTTAATCGATATTAAAGCACATTTACGATTTATATTTGTGTTCCTTTTCCATATTTGGTCTTGGAAGAGATATAATCAAATTTTGGCAATAGGCATACAATGGAGATGGCATACAACAAAAGCTGAAAATTAAAGTTACTGCTGCTTGAATGAAAAGAAATGCTTAGACAAGATCGGGTTACGGATGTCAGCGTACCACTAATTCCAAATCCTGGAAAAGCATAAGACTCCACCTCGGTTAGAATGATTGCTGTTCGGTCGTAAAGTCCATCTGTTGGTGCCGATTAGGAACACAACTTCCTTTATGAATTCTTTATTTATCTCAATAAATTTGAATTAAGAAATGAACTGTGAATGTTCTTACGCAAGTTGCAAACGCTGTACGTTCATATAAATAAATATTCATTCAAACTACTGAATCATTTGAGACTTAAAAACTCTATGTAGTTGAATGTTCTTACACAATGCTCTATGTTCAAATAAATATTCTTAATAGCATATAAGATTTTCTTAAATATATGAGTAAATCTTTTTATTCTGATAAGATTTTCCTAACTGTACGAGAAAATTTCTTTACTGAAATCCTCCCTCTTAATCTGTATAAATAGGGGGAGAATAGCTTCAATGTAAAACAGCTTCTTCAATAATTCTTCTTATCTTTTATTCTTTCCAATATGGTACCAAAGCAAGTGAGATGAGCGAGGCTCCACAGTCTTCGAAGCCTGCCATTCACCATATCTCTTACCTTTGCAGAGTAGAGAAGGGGAGAACTCTTTTTTGTCGGACTCGCTTCCCTATCGGACTCCCCTCTCCGTCCGCTGTACAACGCGTGATGCCTTCGCTGCTACCCCAACCGCTGTTGTGACCACACCCGGTGTCGCCATCAGGTGCGACCACAATAACGAGGGCTTGTTTTGGTGCGATCGACTGCTCGCCCTCGGTAGTGGATCCCTCTCCAACCCCTGCCCGCTCCTTCCTTTTTCTCCTCCATGTGGCCTTCTTCTTCACCGACGCCGCCTGCCTGCACCGACCCTAGGCTCGGGTTGTCTATCGCCGTAGCATCGTCTTCATCAGGCTGTGATCTCCATCAATCGCAGCCTGCTGCCTCGCTATCAACTGTTAATCTTCAGCTCCTACTAAGAGCTAATCGCTGCAGATTTCTCTACCAAATCGTTGCAGATTTCTCTACCAAATCGCTACAGATTCCTCCTACTACACCTTCCTCCTCTACTGCAGCATTGTTGCAGCTTCCTCCTCTGCTGCAGCTTCCATTGTAGCTTCCTCATCTACTGTAGCTTCCGCTGTAGCTTCATCCTCTATTGTAGCATCGCTGCAGCTGCCTCCTATGCTATAGTTATCTCCTCTACTATAGCTACTTCCTCTATTGCAGCTTCCTCCTCTGTCGTAGCATCACTACAGCATCGCTGCATCTACCTCCTCTGCTACAGCTTCCTCCTCTGCTGTAGCATCGCTACAACTACCTCCTCTACTGTAGCTTTCTCCTCTACTGCAGCTACTTCCTCTGTTGCACCTCTGCTACAGCTACCTCCTCTACTGTAGCATCACTACAGTATCGCTGTAGCTTTCTCCTCTACTGTAACTTTCACAGTAGCTGCAACAACCGTAGTTGCCGTCGTCGCAACTGCAGCAGCAGTAGCGATATGCTCTTGCCCTACTCACGAAGCCTCTCGCTAATAAACTGTTTGCTTTGTATCGATCCAAGATTGGTATCCTTGATAGGAGCACCATCTTGAGGGGGCATGATAGCAGATAAGATTTTCTTAACTATATGAGTAAATCTCTCTACTCTGATAAGATTTTCCTAACTGTATGAGGAAATCTCTCTACTCTGTTGAGGGAAATCCTCCCTCTTAATCTATATAAATAGGGGGAGAATAACTTTAATGTAAAACAACTTCTTCAATAATTCTTCTTGTCTTCTATTCTTTCCATTAGTTCATTCAAACAATTGAATGATTTGAGACGTAAAAGCTCTAGGCACTTGAATATTCTTATATAAGTTGCAAATGCTCTACGTTGAAATAGATGTTCCTTCAAACTATTGAATGATTTGAGAGGTAAAAGCACTACGTACTTGAATGTTCTTACACAAGTTGTAAATGCTCAATGTTCAAATAGATGTTCCTTCAAACGATTGAATGATTTAAAACATAAAAACTTGATGTACTTGAATGTTCTTACACAAGTTGCAAATACATAATGTTCAAACAGATGTTCCTTCAAACTATTGAATGATTTGAGACATAAAGGCTCTATGTACTTGAATGTTCTTACACAAGTTGCAAATGCTCTGCCTTCAAACAGATGTTCCTTTAAATTGTTGAATGATTTAAGACGTAAAAGCTTTATGTAGTTGAATGTTCTTACATAAGTTGTAAATGCTCTATGTTCAAATAGATGTTCATTCAAACAATTGAATGATTTGAGATGTAAAAGCTCTAGGTACTTGAATGTTCTTACACAATTTGCAAATGCTCTATGTTGAATTGCCCCTGGTAGGGTGGTATCGTGGCACAGTCTTCAAGACTGTGTCAGACGGTACCAAGACATGATTTTACTATGGCACAGTCTCTGAGACTATGTCAGGTGGTGGTACCGCCAATCTGGGTGGTTGTACCGCCCCTGGTAGGGTGCTAGGCGGTGGTACCGCCAGTCTGGGCGATGGTACCGCCCAGCATAGCATCCCAGGTGGTGGTACCACCCAGTGCAGTGTTAGTGTCAGACTGACACTAGCGGTTGTACCGCCCAGCACAGGCGGTGGTACCGCCTGGACCCGAGAAACTCAGGATGAGATGTTTTTAGGCTCCAAGTTTGAATCAATTTGAAACCTATAAATACCCCACTCATCCCTGGTTAAAGAACACAAGCACAGAGAGTTTAAAAGTGAAGAAACTCTATTACAATCACTTGAGAAATCCCTCCTCTAGATCTAACCTTAGAATTCTGTTTAGGAGAAGTGTGAGTGCTTGTAAGGGTTGTCTCCTAAACCCGGTAAAAGGAGAAAAGGGGTGTAAGAAGAAGGTTGATCTTTGCCTATTAAAGGAAGATCGATACTGGATGCCGGTGGCCTCCACAGAGGAGGAATCGGCGAAGTGGATGTAGGTCACGACGACCGAACCACTTTAAAATCTAGTTTGCATTTCTATTTATGCAATTTATCTTTACTACAAACCTCTTTAAGTGTTTACTGCCTTCAAGCTATCTTTACGAAAATGCTTTCAAGTTAACCTCTCTCCTAAACAATTTTTAACGTAAATGATTTTATCGAAACAAAAGGTTTTTTGAAGACGTGATTTTACCGCTGCACTAATTCACCCCCCCCTTAGTGTCGGTCCCGTTCCTAACAATTGGTATCAAAGCCGCAAGAGAATGAGAGAGTGACTCTCTTGAAAGCCGAAAAGAGTCATTTCTCTTTGGGTGTTAAACCAAATGAGAAAATGACGCTCTGATACCAATTGTTAGGAACGGGGTCAGCACTAAGAGGGGGGTTAAATTAGTGCAGCGATAAAATCACGTCTTCAAAAACGTTTCATTTCGATAAAACTAGTTTCGTAAAGATAACTTGAAAGCATACAGAAAAGTATTGAAGGCAGTAAGCTGTTAAAGAGGTTTGCAGTAAGGACAAATTGCTCAAAGTAAAATACAAACCAGATTTTAGAGTGA